TCAATTGGCATCGTTCTCATTACAAATGGCATCGTTCTCATTACAAATGGCGTATTACAACATTTGCATCATCGTTCGACATAAGCTAGTGCGGACTAATAACACTAGCTATTACCGTATCCCCCCGGATATACCCCCATGGGGGGCAATAATAAAACAGGTTTTTTCATGGGGGTGGGCTTATAATCGAGTAAATTTATAAGCGCCGGCGTTTATAAAATGACATACATATTTTTTTATATCTTTTAACACCAAACTGTAGGTCTCGTGCTTGCCTTTTCAATCGAGTCGAAGTTACATGGGATCGTCTGTGAAATTCTCGCGCGCGCTGGGAGATACACCCAATCTGACTCACATCCAGCTCCTGACAGGTCCTGCTGACTGGACCCGCATCCAGTGCAGGGTCCGAATGTGAAGGGAACCGATTCTGCAACATATCCGCCTGCTAAAGTAAAAATCGTTACAGCTTTTTGAACACATTTCAAATTTAAAGTTTACGTGCGCTTATAAAAAACAAGTTTTTTCAAGGGGTGCGCTTATAATCGAGGAGGGGATATAAGCGCCATATGCCAATTAGAAGCGCCAGGGCTTATCCTAGGGTGGCGCTTATATCCGGGGGGAGCGGTATGTACCCTATCCAAGTGGCATTAGCAAGGCGGTTTACACTGGGGTGGGTGGTGGGAATGTTGAGTGAGCCGTTTGAAAATTGAGAAACGTGGGTGGAGGGAAATGAGCTCCAACCCACGGTTTTTGTAGTTGGAGAAGGGCGTTTAGCGCGCTTCGACGATGCCAATTGTGCAGTACAAGCAGCTTCGCTTTCACAATACACAATTTTAAAAAACACTACATGTGTGTTTAAAAATTATAATATTGAGAAAGCTTGCTTTCTTTCTTATCAATTGGCATCGTTCTCATTACAAATGGGGTCTCTGAGACATGGGCAGCGGGGGCCTCCGGTTGCGTACGAGTGCCTCTATGTGTTGCGCCGATGACACCGCATGCGTCGAATCTTGTAGGGTACGGGAGGCTTCGATGAGGGGCTCGACGTATGGCGTAACATACATTTCCTTTGCTGTGTCGCTTCGCCATCTGCCCAGCCGTTTGAAGACTCTGTCTGGCACTCCCGTGTTGGCTGCTACTGTGGCTGCACCTTTTCGGAAAGAATGGGTGCCTAGCTGCAACTCTCCAAGGCCAACCTTTGCGAAGGCTTCCTTGCACCAGTTCCGGATCGTAGTGTATGAAGGTGGCCTAGCCTGGCCCTCGCTGGTTGAACTGTGACCGAAGACACGAATCAATGGTCCCTCTGTGAACACATCAGCCGTGTTGGCCCGAGTGGGCATGTGAGCGACACAAAGCTGACCACGCTACTGCAACTCTTGAGCAAGGAAGTAACGCAGAGCGATGTGCTTCGTTCTGTGCTCCAGTCTGTGGTCCTAACACAAGGCAATGGCTGCCTTGTTGTTAACGTATAGAACTGGAGGAGAACAAGGCCTCTCTCCCAAGTCGGTCAGCAGATAGGTGAGCCAGCGTAGCTTCTGTGCGGCCAAGACTGTGGCGTAGATCTCAACCTCACAACTGGAGCTGAGAACAGAAGACGGACGTGTAGACCGCCAAGAAACAGAGCCAGAGCCAAAGCTAAACGTGTAACCTTGTGACGACCGCTGCGTAGCCAGATCGTCAACCCAAGAAGTGTTTGAGTGCCCAGTGAGGACAACTGAGCTCCGCCCTCCAAGCACGAGCCCCATGCCCGATGTACTGCACAAGTAGCGCATTACCTCTTTGCAGCATCCCAGTGCACCTTTCGGTGCCTACGAGGAGCCACGTAGCATGCCAGAAGGCCAAGAGGGTACGCAAGGTCAGGATGAGTGCAGGTCATCAGGTACATGAGGCAGCCCACTAGCTCTAGGTAAAGACCACTCGGCTCTACGGACTCGTCCAAAAGTGGAGCTGAGAGCGAGTGACCTGTAGCCAGAGGAGTTGCCTGTGCCAAGGACCAGGTGAGGCCGAAGTGCTGAAGGACCTGCTGCACCATGTGTGACTGAGTCAGCGTGAGTGCTGGTGCGGCGTGCTCTGTCCCGGGTGATCTGCAAGCCAAGGTAGCTGCGCAGCTCACCAAGGTCTGTGCACGTGTGTCTCTTCTACAGCTCCGACTTCACTAGGAACACCAAGTCGTCGAAATACCCGAGGATGTAGAATGGCGGCAGAGAAGTGTCGGTGCGCAGAAACAGCGACGGGTCAGCAGTCGACGGAGCAAACCCAAGAGCCGCAAGTGTCGTCCTCAATGTGTCGTGCCACTCACGCGGCGCCTGGCGGAGACCGTAGAGTGGCCGCCGGAGGCTCCACTGGGTACCAGGAGGGAACGACCCAGTGAAGCCAGGTGGGCGGCGCAGCCAGATCTCCTCGTGCAGGCTGCCCTGTAAGAAGGCTGTGCTGAAGTCAAGAGAGTGAAGCTCGTAGCCACGCTGAGCGGCAACGTGCAGCAGCACCCGAAGAGTGGTCATCTTCGGGGTGGGGGAGAAGGTCTGGAAGAAGTCTACTCCCTCCCGCTGACTGAAGCCTCAAGCAAAGTAACGAGCCTTGAAGACAGGCGGAGAACCTGGCGGCCGCTTCACCCTGAAAATCCACATGCCATCGACGATGTTCGCCCCAGGAGGGGGAACCTCGTCGACGTAAGTACCTGTGGACTTCCAGGATGCCATCTCTGCGTCCATGGCTGTCTGCCACTGAGAGGAGTAGGGACCCGCGATCGCCTCAGCGTAAGAGCGCGGAGTCGGGATGTCTGGTGCATCCGAGTCTCCCTCACGTGCAAGCAGCATGGATTCGAGATGAGGCGCAGTGGCTGCAAGACACTCAAGGTCCTCCTGCTTGTCCTCAAGGACGTCCGTGCCAAGAGCACACTCACCCCCAACGGACGGAGGACAGACAGACTCAGACTCAGCAACAAGACTAGCGGCGTAGTCTAGACGACAGGCAGCAGCAAAGTCAACAAGCTCAGCGACTAAGGCAGACGCAGCAGCAGACTCAAACGACGGGCCAGTGACAACTGTGGCTAGCAGACGCGTGATAGTAGGGTGAGCAGCACGAGCGCGGTCAGACTCATGCTCTGGAACGTAAGGCAGAGAAGACGCAGGAGGAGACGGCAGAGGAAACCGCTGTGGAGGAGAGGAAGGACGACGGACTACGAGGTGGGTGCCGGGGACAGCCGGCTGACGCGGATGAGGAACACGACGACCAGAACGGACAGGCAAGACAGGACGCGACGCAGGCTCACGACACTGAGTAAGACCCCCTGTCTACTCTGTGTAAGGAGAAGGAGCAGGTAGCGGTGAGCCAGGCTGTAACGGAAGACCTGTAGACGAAGGGAGACTAAGAACCTGGCGAAGCACAGAGTCAGGCAGTGGCTGAGATGACGGAGACGGTGTAGTGAAGAACAGGCGTGGCTGTGCAGTGCCACCAGCACCAGCAGCTCCAGTACCCCCAGCAGTTCCAGCACCTCCAGCAGCTCCAGAAGCCTCTGCGCCAGCTCCTCCAGGACCAGCTCCACCAGCAGCAACACCCCTAGAATTGGCACCTCCAGTCCCAGGGTCTCCAGCCTCAGTGTCTTCAGTAGCAGCACCCCCAGACCCAGGGTCTCCAGCAGTGGCACCCTCAGGCTCAGCACCTCCAGCCCCAGCAGCTCCAGTACCTCCAGCAGCAGAGCCCCGAGCTGGAGAAGCGCGACCCTGACGGCGACCGTACCAGTCGTGCAGCTGCTGTGAGGTGAGAGGCACACGCGGACAAAGGCAGCTACTCGAAGGATACCTGGCAATAGCAGATTCAGAACCCTCAGGCGTCATACCTCCAGCGCCAGCACCCGCAACAGCTCCAGAACCTCCAGCTTCAGCGCCACCAGCGCCAGCATCTCCAACAGCGCCAGAACCTCCAGTGCCAGCACCTGCAGCAGCTCCAGAACCTCCAGCTCCAGCACCACCAGCAGTAGCACCCCCAGAGCCGGCACCTCTAGCTCCAGGGCCTCCAACCTCAGAGTCGACAGCAGCACCTCCAGGCTCAGCACGGCCTACAGTCCCAGCAGCTCCAGGAACTCCAGTAGAAACAACTCCAGTAGCAGAGTGACCAGCTCCAGCAGCGCGACCCTGGCGGCTAACGTAACACTCACGCAGCTGCTGTGGAGAGAGAGGGAGAAGACGACGAGAGTGCAGCGGCGAGGCACCAGCGGAGCGACTACGGAGACGGCCGCTCCAGGGAGACTGCTCACCAGACGCCTCAGCACCCCCAGATGTAGCACCCCCAGACTCAGTACCCCCAAGCTCAGCACCCCCAGGCTCCGCACCCCTTGGCTCAGCACCCCTAGAAGCAGTACCCCGAACGCTTAGCGGCAACGTGCAGCAGCACCCGAAGAGTGGTCATCTTCGGGGTGGGGGAGAAGGTCTGGAAGAAGTCAACTCTCTGTCGCTGACTGAATCCTCGTGCAACGTAACGAGCCTTGAAGACAAGCGGAGAACCCGGCGGCCGCTTCACCCTGAAAATCCACATGCTATCGACTACGTTCGCCCAGGAGGGGGAACTGCGTCGACGTAAGTGCCTGTGGAGTTCCATGATGCCATATCTACGTCCATGGTTGTCTGCCACTGAGAGGAGTACTCACCCGCGATCCCCTCAGCGTAAGAGCAAGGGGTCGGGATGTCAGGAGCATCCGGGTCTCCCTCAGGGGCAAGCAGCATGGCCACGAGATGAGGCGCAGCGGCTGCAAGACACTCAAAGTCCTCCTACCTATCCTCAAGGACGTCCGTGCCAAGAGCACACTCACCCCCGACGGACGGAGGACACACAGACCCTGACTTAGCAACAAGACTAGCAGCGAAGTCGAGATGACAGGCAGCAGCAAAGTCAACAAGCTCAGAGACTAAGGCAGACGCAGCAGCAGACTCAAACGACGGGTCAGCGACAGCAGTGGCTAGCAGACGCATGATAGTAGGGTGAGCAGCACGAACAAGGTCAGATCAAGGGTTTTGAACGTCAGGCAGTGAAGATGCAGGAGGAGACGGTAGGGGAACACGCTGTAGAACAGAGGAAGGACGAAGTGCCATAGCGCGCGTGCCAGGGACAGGAGGCGGACGCTCAGGAGGAACACGACTATCAGTGCGACGCGCGCGAACAGGCGAGGCAGGACGAGACGGAGGCTCACGACGCTCTGTAAGGGAGTTTGTCTGCTCAGTGTAAGGAGAAGGGGCAGGCAGTGGTGCGCCGGACTTTAACGGGAGGCCTGTAGAAGACGGGAGGCTAAGAACCTGGCGAAGCACGTAGACACGCGGTGGCAGAGACGACGGTGACAGGGGAGCCAAAAACAGTCGCGGCGGTGCAGTGCCACCAGTTCCAGTAGCTCCAGCGCCTCCAGCAGCTCCAGAACCTTCAGCAGCTCCAGAACCTCCAGCAGCAGCACCTCTAGCTCCAGTGACTCCAGTAGCAGCACCTCTAGCTCTAGCGCCTCCAGCAGCTCCAGAATCTCCAGCTCCAGCGCCTCTAGTAGCAGCACCTCCAGCTCTAGTGACTCCAGCAGCAACACCTCCAACTCCAGCGCCTCCAGCAGCTCCAGAACCTCCAGCTCCAGCACCTCCAGCAGCAGCACCTCCAGCTCCAGTGACTCCAACAGCAGCACCTCCAGCTCCAGCGCCTCCAGCAGCTCCAGAACCTCCAGCTCCAACGCCTCCAGTAGCAGCACCTCCAGCTCCAGTGACTACAGCATCAGCACCCCCAGCTCCAGCGCCTCCAGCGGCTCCAAAACCTCCAGCTCCAGCGCCACCACTATCAACACCCCCAGAACCGGCACCTCCAGCAACAGGGTCGTTAATGCCAGGGTCGACAGCACCAGCTCCAGGGCCTCCAGCCCTAGTACATCCAGCAGCAGCACCCCCAAAGCCGACACCTCCAGCTCGAGGAGCAGTCCCAGTCCCGGCAGCTCCAGTACCTCCAGTACGAGCACCTCCAGGACCAGAGACACCAGCACTCCCAGCGCCTCCACGACAAGCAGCTCCAGCAGCACGACTCCGCTGGCGGGTACGCGACGCAAGCCACTCTCGTGCCTGCTGTGGTGAGACAGGCCCGCGTCGTGAAACGAGACTCAGAGGAATGCCAACAGACTCAGCACCCCCGACCCGGCACCCTCCGGCTCAGCACCCCCAGGCTCCGCACTCGTAGGCTCAGCACCCCCAGGCTCCGCACCCCCAGCACCTCACGGACAGACTCAGCACCCCTAGACTCCGCAACCGCAAGCCCAGCACCCCAAGGCTCCGCACTCCTCAACACCTAACGCACAGGCTCAGCACCCCCGACGCAGCACCCCCCAGCAACACCTCCCGGCAGCAGCAAATGAGTCGCTAGTGACCTCTACAAGCTCAGCCAAGGGGGGCGGGTCTACTGAGACACAGCCCCAAGGAGCAGGACTTCGAGGGGGGAGGGGTCTATCGGAGGGGGACCTGCAGTGAGGAAAAGCGGCGGGGGAGGGAGAGGGGCAGTGCGGTAGGGGAAGAGATGGTAGAAATGAACTGACTCGTCAAAGGTGACGTCCTGAGAGGGGAAGACACGGCGCGAGGTGGGGTGGTAAAACTGCCAAGCCAGGCGCGTCAGGGACAAAGCAAGGAAGACACAGGGAATGGTGCGGGAGGAGAGCTTGTCCGCGGTACGTATCGCGCATAAGGGGCACGAGCACCCCAGACCCGGAAATGCGACGCATCGCCAACCTCCCCCGTCCAATGCAGTGTGGGCGAGGTCTCTGGCAAGGAGACACGGGGCTAGAGGTTGAGCTGCTGCGCGGCGTAACGGACCGCAAACGACCACAGAAAATGGGGAGCCGTCGCAGGATCAAGGAGGTATGAGCGACCTCCACGACTAAGCCAATGCGGCGCTCAGCAAACCCATTTTGCTGCACTGAGCCCAGAAGCGTGAACGACTGCTTCATGCCCTCCCCCTGATAGAAGGCCCGCAAGAGGTCGGAGGAGAACTCACCACCTCTATCAGAGTGCAGACGCAGATAGGCAGGTCCTGGCGGAAACCTGCGGCGGAGCCGGAGGACGAACTGCTCGGATCCAAGGGATCTGGACAGCAGGGACCTCACCCCTTGGTGCGCAAGGGAAGATCGTGGTGTAATGCGAGTAGTCGTCGACACCACCAGCAGAAAGTACCGCTCACCGCCCTGACCACGAACGCGGGCTAAACCCCACACGTCCAGGTGGAGGGTCTGCAGAGGAGCCTCTGTAGGGGAAACGAGGAGGAGTGAGGATGCGGAGTGCTGCCAGCCCCTCGACGCAAGGAAGGTAGGGCGGCGCAGGCGAGGCAGGGAGGGGAGGGAGAGACCTAGGAAGACCAGACACAAGGAGGCGACGGTGCATACCACGGAGACGTGGTAAGGAGGGGTGACCCAGGCGGTGGTGCCAGAGAAGAGTCTGGTGCGACAAGGAGCGACGCTCACAAGGGGAGGCTACCTGACCTGACGCAGACACCTGACCGATAGCAGCTACCTGAGGAGACACAGTCGTCGGTGTGTAAAGACTCGACCCTGGCTGACGGGCGAACGTGGCCAGGTGACGGCCAGTCATGGAGCACGTACAGATCGCCACACGCTGTCCTCCGGGGGAAAAGGTGTCAACCCAATGATCTTGGATGACGGCATTGCTCACCAAGTCGTCGAGAACGAGGGGAGGTGGAGACCTGACAGTGAGCCAGACGGAACCGCCGGGCACGAAGCACAGTGGTGGACCTGGCAAGAACTGGACCCCCTGAGGGGTCAGCTAGAGTGACTGCAACAGGTGCAAGGAGTGGTGTGAGTGCGGGTACTATCACGAAAGAAGCAGCGGAAAGCACCTGAGTGAAGCGTGAAGGTGTGCAAGGCCTCATCAGGCGTAGTACTTGAGAGAGCAGACTCGCTCGCAACTAAGGTTGCCGCCTCACCAGCACCTAGAGTACTAGCCTCTATACCAGGGTCAGGCAGCACACACAAGTAACAGTCCCCATCAGCACTAATCTCCAATGCATACATGGTAGAAATAATAGCATCATAATCAAGAACAAAAATGTCTACACCAACCCTAAGCAACTCAAACCAGCGAGGGCGCTCAGCGTCCTCGCCCATCTCCTCATGCCAGGCGTTCATCAAGGCGGGAGAAGCAGCGGTGCTAGGTGTGGAACTTCCCGCATGTCTGACCCTTGCAGTCACCTGTGCAAATGACATACGGGCAGCGATCACCACCCCCAGACCTCCCACGCTGAGCAAGCCACTCACGAAGCTGCTGGGTCGTCTGGGGACTCTGCTGCTGCTGCTGCCTCTGACCAGCCCCCGTGCCTCCACCCCGACCGCCACCTCCACCGCCACCACCTCCCCGGCCGCCACCGCTGCTGCCACTGCCGCCGCCACCGCCGCTGCCACCCCCTCTGCCACCACCGCCTCCACCGCCACTACCGACGCTACCAGTCCCGCCAGCACTCCCGCCGCCACTCCCCCCGCCACCTCCTCCTCCTCCACCGCCTCCACCACCACCCCGCCCGGTGTCACCTCCGCTACTCTTGGCTCCCTTGCCCTTACCGCTTCGGAGCCTCCCACTAGGAGCAGAAGCAGCTAGCACCAACAGACTCAGCACCAAGGTAGTCAACCAGTAGCGGCAGTAGCGTAGGAGGGGGCAAGGGGAGAGGGAGAGCACCCCTCAAAGATGGGGTGGCGAGGAGCGCCACGAGAAGCACTAGAGCGACAATGCTCTTCTCTGCTGCAAGGAGGTGCTCCTCTAGGAGGACGACAAGGAGTTCGGTGGGACGGCGATGCGAGAAAGTGGTCCCTGAGCGAGCTAAGAGATCTGTACTTACTGACTACTGCCCCCCCTCAGGTCGCTGCGTCTGCGTCTGCGTCCGCGTCAGGTCAGCTGTCCGCCCCCTGCTCGTGTCGCTCTCTAGCGCACGAGACTGTCCTCTGGCACCACCGACTGGGCCACCCGTCTGTGCAGCGCCTTCGTGCCATGCACTCCCGGTACCTTGTCTCTGGTCTTCCCAGGGTCCTCCCTCCCCTCCCACCCTCGCCAGCTCCTCCCTGTCTTCCCTGTGTCGAGGGGCGGCAACGCGCCGCTCCTCACTCCTCCTCGTTTCCCCCGACGACTGCTCCTTTGCAGACGCTCCACATGGACGTGTGGGGCCCAGCCCGCGTCCGTGGTCAGGGTCAGGAGAGGTACTTCCTGATCGTTGTAGACGACTACTCGCGCTACACCACGGTCTTCCCCTTGCGAGCCAAGGGTGAGGTCCCTGATGTTTTGATCCCTTGGATCCGCAGAGCTCGTCTCCAGCTCAGCGAGCGTTTCCGCTCGGACTTTCCTGTCCTGCGCTTGCACTCTGACAGAGGTGGTGAGTTCTCCTCCGACCTCTTGGCAGCCTACTGTGCTGAGCACGGCATTGAGCAGTCGTTCACGCTTCCGGCCTCTCCACAGCAGAATGGGGTTGCGGAGCGCCGCATTGGCCTGGTCATGGAGGTCGCTCGTACCTCCTTGATCCATGCGGCTGCCCCCCACTTTCTGTGGCCGTTTGCGGTCCGGTACGCTGCGCATCAGCTCAACCTCTGGCCCCGTGTCTCCTTGCCGGAGACCTCGCCCACACTGCTGTGGACGGGGGAGGTTGGCGATGCGTCACGTTTCCGGGTCTGGGGATCTCGAGCTTTTGTCCGCGATTCGTCTGCGGACAAGCTCTCCTCTCGTGCTGTTCCCTGCGTCTTCCTCGGCTTTGTTCCGGACGCGCCTGGTTGGCAGTTTTACCACGCCACCTCGCGCCGGGTCTTGCCCTCTCAGGACGTCAACTTTTGACGAGGTCTGTCCCCTACTACCGCCTCTTTCCCTACCGCACTGCCCCGCTCCCACCCCCGCCTCTCTTCCTCGCGCCAGGTGCTGCTGTCGTAGACCCCCTCCCCCCTCAAGGTGCCGCTCCCTCAGGTGTGTCTCAGGTAGACCCGGTCGAGCCTGTTGAGGTTGCTGTCGACTCTCGTCCTGCTGGGGGTGCTGAGCCTGGGGGTGCGGAGACTGGGGGTGCTGAGCCTGGGGGTGCTGACTCTGGGGGTGCTGAGCCTGGGGGTGCGGACTCTGGGGGTGCTGAGCCTGGGGGTGCGGACACTGGGGGTACTGAGCCTGGGGGTGCTGAGCCTGGGGGTGCGGTGGACTGGGGGTGCTGAGCCTTGCGGTGCTGGGCCTGAGGGTGCTACACCTGGACGCGACCTCTCCTCGGAGCAGTTGCGTGAGTGGTACTTACAGGTTTGCAGCCTCCGGGGTGTTACCTCTGGGACCAGGCGCACTACAGGGACTGGGGCTGGTACTTCTCCTCCTAGTCGGGAGCTCCCCTCTCGTGAGCGGATCCGTGAGTGGTACGAGCGCCGTTGCACACTTCGGAGTGGTGCGCCTCGTCTCACGGACCCGGCTGCCCCTCGTGCTACGGACCCGGGCGTTGGAGCTGCTGCTGATGCTGCGGACCCTGGCGTTGGAGCTGCTGCTGGTGCTGCGGACCCGAGGGTTGGAGGTGCTGCTGGTGCTGAGGACCTGGGCGTTGGGGCTGAGGCTGGTGCTGCGGACCCTGGCGTTGGAGCTGCGACTGGTGCTGTGGACCCTGGTGTCGGAGTCCCTACTGGTGCTGAGGACCCGGGCGTTGGAGCTGCGGCAGGTGCTGTGGACCCTGGTGTTGGAGCCTCTGCTGGTGCTGAGGACTCGGGCGTTGGTGCTGAGGCTAGTACTGAGGACCTGGGCGTTGGAGCTGCCTGCTGGTTCTGGTACTGCCGCTGGGGGTACAGGTGCTGTCCCTGCTGTGTCTGGAGTCGCCGCGCGCCCTCAGCCGTACTTCGTTCCGCTCCTTCAGCAGGTTCTTGGTCTCTCGCCTCCTCCTGGTCCTCCTCCCTTAGCGTGTTCACAGCCTGTCCCCGTCACAGTTACAGTTGCAGCCGGCCTCCCCACTACCTGCTCCTTCTCCTTACACTGGTCCTACTGGCGGTCTTACTGAGCGTCGTGAGTCTGCGTCTCGTCCTGCGTCGCCTGTCAGTCCTGCTAGCGCTAGTGCTCGTAGTTCGCGCCAGCGTCCTCCCCCTGCCCCTGGCACGCACCGGATGTCTCTACGTCCGTCTACTGCTCCTCTGCGTGCCCCTTTGCCTTCTCCTCCTGCGTCCTCTCTTCCTGCTTTCGCCGACCCTGAGTCGGACTCTCTTCGTGCTGCCAGTCCTACTGTCACGCGTCTCCTTGCTACTGTTGTCACTGACCCTTCTTTCGAGTCTACTGCTGCGTCTGCTCTCGTTACTGAGCTCGTCGACTTTGCTGCTCGCTGTTGCTTAGACTACGCTGCTAGTCTTGTCGCTGAGTCTGAGTCTGTCTGTCCTCCGTCCGTCGGGGGTGAGTGTGCCCTTGGCACGGACGTCCTTGAGGACAGGCAGGAGGAGTTCCAGTGTCTGGCAGCTGCTTCACCTCATCTCGTGTCCGTACTGCTTACCCCTTGAGGGAGACCCGGATGCACTTGACATCCCGACTCCGCGCTCTTACGCGGAGGCGATATAGGGTCCCTACTCCTCTCAGTGGCAGGCACCTATGGATGCAGAGATGGCTTCCTGGAAGTCCACAGGCACCTACGTTGACGCTGTCCCCCCTCCTGGGGGCGAACATCGTCAGTGGCATGTGGGTCTTCAGGGTGAAGCGGCCGCCGGGTTCTCCGCCTGTCTTCAAGGCGCGTTACGTGGCTCGTGGCTTCAGTCAGCGACAGGGAGTTGACTACTTTCAGACCTTCTCCCCCACCCCGAAGATGACCACTCTTCGGGTACTGCTGCACGTTGCTGCTCACCGGGACTACGAGCTGCACTCTCTCGACTTCAGCACAGCTTTCCTGCAGGGCAGCCTGCACGAGGAGATCTGGCTGCGCCGCCCACCTGGCTTCACTGGGTCTTTCCCTCCTGGTACCCAATGGAGTCTCCGGCGTCCAGTCTACGGTCTCCGCCAGGCGCCACGTGAGCTTGTTGGCTGCCTCATGTACCTGATGACCTGCACACGACCTGACCTTGCATACCCTCTTAGCATTCTTGCACGCTATGTTGCTCCTGGGAGACACCGTCCAGAGCACATGGCTGCAGCGAAGAGGGTGTTGCGCTACTTGTGCAGTACGTCGGGCATGGGGCTAGTGCTTGGAGGGCGGAGTCCAGTGGTCCTCACTGGACACGCAGATGCTTCTTGGGCTGACGACCAGGCTACGCAGCGGTCGTCACAGGGTTACACCTTCAGCCTTGGTTCCGGCTCTGTTTCGTGGCGGGCTACTCGCTCGTCTTCTGTTCTTGGCTCCAGTTGTGAGGCTGAGATCTACGCAGGGGCCATGGCTGCTCAGGAGCTTCGCTGGCTCACCTACCTGCTGACCGACCTTGGAGAGCCGCCTCGTTCTCCTCCAGTCCTGTACGTCGACAACAAGGCCATGCTGGCCTTGTGTCGAGAGCAGAGACTGGAGCACAGAACAAAGCACATTGCTCTCCGCTACTTCCTTGCTCGTGAGCTACAGCAGCGTGGTCAGTTGCGACTTGCGTACGTGGCCTCTGAGGCCAACACTGCTGATGTCTTCACCAAGGCACTTCCGCCTTGTGATCATCAGCGCTGCTGTACCTAGCTGGGTCTTGTGTCTGTCTTGCCTCACTTGCTCTCCTCTTGACCCTCTTTGTACTGTTACATATATATATCACTGCTCTTGCTTATTTAGTCTTATATATATATCTGTACTCCTTCATGTGAACTGGCCTTGTGGCCTTGCACTTGTTCTTGGATTGTGTGGTGACGTTGTGATCCACCCTGAGCTTTTTTGCTTTACTTGACTGGTCTTGTGACCCCTAGTTCTCCCCCACTTCGCCTATGGGGGTGTGTCAAACATTATATATGTTGTTGTAGTTGTTTAGGCTACAGTGGGTTAGCCTATAGGGGGTACACATTCCTAGGTTTTGATACTTGTACTCATTTCACTCTTAGTTCATTCATTCTTGTTCAACAAGAAAGTGGTCCCTGAGCG